ACATTGCCACCTTTGAAATACTCTAAACTCCTAAATTTGGATGCGTCTCCGGTCATGTGCTTGGAGCATCCGCTATCGAGATACCAAGAGGTACTCGAAGCCTTCAAGCACACCTACAAAAAGATATCAAGGAGACGGTTTAGGTACCCATGTATTGTTGGGTCCTTTTTGGTTAGCATATGTGCGATGTGTGTGCGTTTGTTGAAAATGCCTAATTTTGGTGAAGCACACGGGTGCAATGTGACCTATCTTATTACAATAGTGGCAAATAACATTTGGATTATTCATCCTATATGGTTGAGTGTAGTGAGTTCTAGGTTTGCTAGGATGTGTTCTTCTAGTTTGATTATTTATTCTAGCATTTTTATTCCCCCTAGCTTTAACAAATGTTGTTTTACTAGGTTGGTTTTTCTTATATCCAAGTCCTTCACCATTACTAACTTTTTTCTTAAGTATTTTATCTAAGGTGTTTGAAGCATTATTAAACTTTCCCAATTTGCTCTCTAAACTAGCAACCTTAGCTTTTAGTGATGTACAACTAGAGCATGTAGAAGAAGAAGTAGTTGAAGGTTCTTATGACCTTTTTCCAAAAGAGATAATTTCTTGTTTAAGTTTATCATTTATATTTTTGAGTTCTTTGATATCATTCTCAAAAATCAGGATTTTTTGCTTTATTTCATTGTTTTCTTTGGAAGCCTTTTTGAACATTCTTACTAAATCTTCTACAATGCAAACAACATCATTAAGAGTTAAAGGATCATTGGGAGAAGGTTCTTGATCACTTACCTCTTTTGATGTATCACCATCTTCAATGACCATGAGACATAAGTTGGCCACTTCCTCCGTTTCTGAGTCTTCACTCCCGGAGCCGTCGTTCTCCCAAGAGATGTAGGCACGTTGCTTCTTCGGTGCCCTCTTGTCCTTCTCGTTCATGAGCTTCGGACACATTGGTTTGATGTGTCCAATTTCACCACCCATAGCATTTGGGTGGAGTGTTATTCTTGGCTCCCTTCTTGAGCATCATCTTCTTGAATTTTCGGACAAAGAGTCCGAGGTCGGTGTCGTCGCTGTCATCATCTTCTTCATCAACGTTGTTGTGGGTTGATGTTGTTGCGGGTAGAGCAATAGACCTCTTGTTCCTCTCTTCAACCACCTTTGAGAGTTGGGTGGTTTCGTAGGTAAAAAGATTACCTCGAAGAGCATCATAGGTCGTTGTTTGAAAGTCACGTCCTTCTTCAATTGCGTCCACCTTTGAACACCATTTTGGGGATAAGCTTCGTAGCACCTTTCTTACAAGTTCTCGGTCAGTGTAAGTCTTCCCGAGAAGATTGAGAGGATTAATGAGGTTAGAGAACCTCTCAAACATTTCCTCAATCTTCTCGTTTTCCTTCATTGAGAAGAGTTCGTACTCGTGAGTAAGATGGTCAATTTTGGCCTCCCGAACCTGCGCGGTTCCTTCGTAGGTGACCTCCAATTTCTCCCACATTTGTTTTGCGGTTCCACACCGCAAAATTTTGCGGTAGTCATCCGCATTAACACCGCAATAAATCATGTTTATTGCCTTTGCGTTGAGCTCCATCTTTTTGCAATCTTCGTCGGTGAACTCCTCTTCGGTTTTGGGAACGTTGACTTCACCGACTTTCTTCATCGGGACTCCGCATCCGTTCTTCACAATTAACCATAGCTTGTAGTCGTTGGATTGGATAAAGATTCTCATCCTCTCCTTCCAATACGAGTAGTTTGTTCCATCGAACAAAGGTGGCCTCGTGGTTGATTGTCCCTCGGTCACTCCTGCGTTGAACATCCTTGATGCCATTTGATCTTTTAGTTCCTGAAAAAA